GATTTATCATCTACGGGTTTATATCGAATTAATTTGATGGCCTGCTCCCAGTTGGCTTGTTAGCTCAATTGGTAGAGCGCTGCACTAGTATCGCAGAGGTCAGTGGTTCGAATCCCGTACAGGCCTGAAATTTTTTTCAGGTCTGATTTCCACTATTGCTCAAATAGTGCTTTACTGCGAAGGATCCTTCTTATAGACGTCTCATAACCGCAGTTCACTCATATGTTTCATATGTTTGTTGTTGATCGTCACAACTATTTGACAAGTACATGACAATTTCAGCAAAGGATTTTGTTAACGGATTCCCACCGGGTGAGCAATAGAAAGCTATTTTTGGATGATCAACCGTTCTGAAAGCATAATTTGACGACAGACCTTTTTCATCGACGCTTGGCCCCAGCGTAAGATGATGGGACAGGGTAGAGGGGCGGAATTTTTCTTCTCGCTTCCCTTTGAGCGTTGCCATACAGGCTGGTACTCTGGTGGACTAGTTTTTCTCTTAACTGCGAGGGTCTGGGAAGAATTTTTTCAAACTGAAGGTTTATTTCCTACATATGCAGATTAATTGTTACACTTCGAGGTCCCACTTCTAAAGAATCTATGGCAAACTGCAAAAATTAAAACTTCTTCCTTTCTACCCTTAATGGTTTTCATGATACTATTAAATGTTGGTATTCACTTAAAACCAATGAGTAAAGTAGGTGATGAGATTTCCAAATATCATTTCACTACATATTTCTAACCGAAAAACACTTTAAAAGAAAGGTTAAGAATGGGCTTTTAAGGCAAACAGCAAAATTAAACTTCGTGTCTTCGCTAGTTTTTAACAGTTTTAAACTCTAGAGTAGAAGTTTGCTTTACCATTGAAAAAGATGCTGCCTGCTTTTTTATAGGCATTCATAGAAGTATTATCATACCTTTAGGAAAGACGAGAAAACTCAGAGCTCGATTTTTCATCTATGGATCTGTGCCCCAGATGTTTTAATAGATCTTTCTTCTAAGTACTAATCCACCAAATTAGTTGGTATCCCAGAGATAAATACTATTCCCAATTCTCATTGAGCAACGATTACTTTGTGGCTTCAATAATAGAACTACCATTAGTAACTAGTGAAAGTGAAAATACCAAAATTACCGAAAAACAAACATACACTGTATCAAATTACCTTCCGACTTTTAGGTTTCTTTTTAAAATGACTGTAAGAGAGTTTTATTTTAGGATTTATTTGACTTCAATATCAAACTAAGCCGGTGAAATCGTTGGAAATTTTGATGATGTCAAGTTCAGCATAACTGAATTAGAATGCGATTCATCTGTCCTCTGTGGGAAAGGTAAGCCGATTTATCATGTTATAGGATAGTGCAAGAAAACATGAGATTGAGATATCTTCGAAAGCGTGTGGCATTGAGGCATTTAAAGTAGATCAGTAGTGAGAGCCAGCCCGTGTTCACATAGGAAGTCATACAACTCACACAATATTTTTAAGCTGTTTTTCTTGGCCAAGGCATCCAGCGAGTCACTTTTATAACCTGGTCTCCAAGAAGAAGAATCTGGTAAAACAAGATCATCTGAAACAAATGACACAAACATTTCCGGTAATGAACAAGTCATAGTATGACTTGCTCATTACTTAACGCCCGCTAAATAATCAAGTGGTATCAGGGACTTACTTTACGAACTACGAGCAGAGATACACTGACGGACCAATTATAATAAAACAAAAATAACATATCTGCAGTATCGTTTCATTTTCTAATATGGGTCTATGTAAGGCATTCGCCAAATGGAGGGGAGTAGGTGTAAAAGAAGAGACGCCATTATCTGGGGTGATAACACAGGTTGTTCTCTCAATATTTCTTATGAACATAAGAATACCAAACTTTTTCAGCTATTTATGGGATGTTAATTTTTTCTTTGTGTTCCCTAAACATCTCGTGGGTATTGTTTTCCTGGACAACAATCAAAGAAACGACGCAAAGTATGAGAGCGAAACATGTTACTGTGCAGAGGAGTCCGATCATGTGATACTAGCTGACTCCGCAGGTTTGCTGACTTAATAATGAGGCGCATAGCGCCGAGTTGGCTATAATAATCTCATATCCAACCAGCGCGAGTGGAATAACCATTTTATTAAAAACGTTAAATTAAATTATTAAATTTTATTAAATTCTTAGCTCCCTTTTAATTTTAAGCTGACACGTACGCTTACCATATTTGTAGATTATGGTATATTGGCTGATATACCATAATGGCTAAGCCAATAAAAAGTCTTGAATCGCATTATCCAATGATCTAGTTTTTAATAATAGTGATTATAGAGGAAATTTATTTGCTGACCTGACCGGTTTCTATTGAATGGCAAGTGGATTTTCACAGCAGGAAGCACTCACGTCTTAATAACCTAGATCAACTAAATCCAGACTGGATTCGAAAAAGTTGTAACCACCATGAACGGCGATAACTTAGAAAATGTAACTGGCCCCTGTACAAATGTATTTACTTGGAGGCGTTCCTATCGGGCGACGATTCCATGAAACTTTGCTTACATGTAATAACATATGACAAAATCTCTTTTCCCCTTTCCGGGATCTCCTCGATGGGCAAGTCATCAGGTAACCGAGGACCTGAAAGAAAAGATAACGATTAAATCGTCCTACTAGTAAATCCTGACTTTGATCCAGTGGCTTCAAACAAAATTTGAATTGTATTGAAGGCTTGACCATCCAAGTCAAAGCCTCCCCCCCCCGCCCCATCCATTACTGTTTTTGATTCTTTGATCATGTGTATGCCTCTCGCTCACGGTTTTTTCGCTGTGTTGATTTGATCTTTGAACTTCGCTCGTTTTCACAGCTAATAATCCCCTAAAGCTTGTTGTTAAGCGAAACGGAACAAAATTAGTTACACTGTGGTGCGTTTGTTTCGAAATCGTCAACCTCAGCAACGCGACACGGCATACCCATACTTTTTCTTAACTAGTTGGGCGTGAAGATCAGTAGCGCAGTTTTCGCGCCGCCTGTATTTTTTTGTAAACATTTCGATTGTCCACAACTGGTTCAAAACAGAGGTTGTTTGCTGACAAGAAAACAGTGGAATAAATAATGACTCTCTTGGCCATGTCAGAAGAATAATTTCTCTTCTTTAAAAATTCCTCCCGCAACCGAATATAACGTACATTATTTTCTTTTTCGGTTTATCTTGGCTTTCTTCAAAATACTTCAGTTGCCTTCCTGTTCTTACGTTATATTTCATTCAATAGTTCACTAGTCTGTATAGCGTAATCTAACGTTGTAACTCGATAATATGCATTTAAATATAAACTCAAATAATAACAAGATTATATTTTTGCAAATAAACATGATATGAATAATATCGCAACATGCTTTGCAGACTTGACCGTTTTTTTTTTTTACAAAGCATTGTGGTCCTCATTGCTCAAAAGTCAATTGATAAGTATTAAGAAGGATTTAACAAAATCACGGTAAAATAACAAACCTGTTGTTCCTCTTGGCGTGATCCGCCTTAAGTGATCGAATACGTCCATTCTTTTTGAAGTTTTAGCTTTCCTTGCTAAGCCACGGATGACTGTTTTCTCCTTAAAGATTAGCTTTTCGAGATAATCTTCATCTAACTGGAGCAGTTTTTGTATAATAACTTCAGGACTACTTGACGATGTCAAAATAGGTTCTACAATGTAATAAAAGGAACGATATAAAAAAAAAAGAGAAAATAAAAAGTATTTATGGTTACAGGATAATTAATTAAGATACTGACATCAAACTCTCTGATTGTTCATGAATTGTTCAACTCAAGGTTAGGTAGTTTAGGTGTTTTTTAAATCAAAAATCGTATTCTAATAAAAGGCTAAGTGATTCTAAGAGGCCAGATGTTTTTAGTGGCCAAATGCAAGTTTACGTAACTCAATTGCATAAGAGGGATGAATGAGATTTACAAGAAGCTTTTATTCTGTGCCATTACAGAAAGCTTTCACTTTTAGAAAATTGCAAGTTTCAGCCTGACCAAATATGAAATAACAATTTGGTCAGAATCACGTTCATCCGCTGGCTAGGTTAGATTGACAGGAGATATGGCAAATATTCAATTTCAAAGCTTATTGAAATTGTTCTTCTTGTTGTTGAGGGCACTCTCACTGTTTGGTTTATTTCTGTTGAAAGAAATTGAAAAATAGCACAAAAACGCAAGGGATTAAGGCAGCAATCCCAACCGGGCAAGATAGGCCTATCTTGTCCACTCGGGTAGCCAATCAGTCATATGTCCATACGGCCCAGGGTGCGCCATCCCACAAAAAAATTATAGCAAAAACTGACGTGTGTTGGACCAGATGGGCTGACGTGAGCCATCCCGCCCCGCACTCAAACTGCTCTTTTGTACTTCTAAAAAGTGTTGTTGATTGACCCGGTTTGATTGGGCCGGACCTACGTCCTTCCTACTCTGTAAATAAGTACATAGTATTTTATAGTATAACCCATAGCCACTCTCATATAAAGATACCGTCCTCGATTTTCCCAATGGTGACTATTTCCGAGTCAACTATTTAGTTTTATGAGACTGACCTGCATTCATCCACTCTTTTTCCATGTCTTTCAAGGTTTCTAAAGCGTTTCTGAATCTCTTCATTTCTTCCCCCATTTTTTAAATGCCTTTCCTAAAAAAATTGAGGATGTAATAGTTCTGAGCCTCAAATTCATACCAAATATAATGGTCAGATGCATCATAGACCCTACTTTACATTATGTGTGAATCTGGTGGTGCTTGATTTAGCGTGTTTAAGTATGGTTATAGGGGTAGCCGTGTGTAACTGATTTCAATATGTTATTGTCAATACACTAACAAAAGCTGTTTTTAAACACTTTACATTGCAGAAAGATAACTGTTTTTAAAAGCCAGCAATTTTGATTTCACAACCACTCATGGCCCTTTGCAATGCGAGGTTGTGAAATGAAAAGCGATTAATTTTCCATTGCACAAGAATATCAACCAGTACTGAGCCCTCATTTGGATTGCCTTTTGTTGGTATGGACGCTTCACCTTTGTTCTGTTTTGAAAAGAAACTTTTGCATTATCAGCGATAGTATCAGCTTTGATAGTTAATCAACCAATGTGTTGATTAAATGTAATTCGTTGAAAATGAGTAATTGATCGTATGACCTTCAGAGGGATATGTATCCTGAAAGATTCCCAAATTCTCGATGGCAAGTCTGAAGAAATTGTCAACCTGGTCGAGCCTTTCAATTTTGTCTCCTGAGGAATTGTAAGTAGAACAAAACGAATTATAAGTTTGGAATTCGGTAAATAAACAGAAAAAGATGTTATTCCGTCTTGTCACTAGCGAAGGAAAAACAAAAACAAATCTAATTTTTCAACCTCGTCATGGCTTAACTCACCGTGGTGGATCTGAGCCTCGAAGTCAAGTACATGTAAACGAGGTTCTATTTCTCATGACGTAGTACACTTTTTTCTTTTACCCGTGCCAAAAAGGAAAAACAATTTCTCTATAATGTTTGTTATTAATACATTCCTCTAATAATTAACCTGCCCTCCAAGAAACAGTAAACAAGGGAATTCTGACTCGCAAGGCAAGAACCTCCCGATCGCCGCTGGAGTTGCTTTTATTACTCCCGGCAAAGGGTCAACGAGCGTGGACGAGAGCGTGTGTGGCTCAACAAGTTCGCCTGACGTCGAAACCACATCCTCTATGATTTTGCTAGTTATGGTTCACCATAGAGATCGCCCACACGTTGAAGTGAGCGTCTACGCGCTACTCGACGACGGAAGCGACTCCACGTTCGTGACAAATTCCACTCTTAAGGAGCTTGGACTAGAAGGAACCGAAGTGTCCCTCAAGCTTAACACCATGCACGGTAAGGAAAGCATACCTGCGCAGAAAGTCGAGGGGCTGGTTGTTCAAAGGCTTGACAGACAAACCGTGATAAAACTTCCGAAGGCGTACTCGAGAGAATCAATCCCAGCCAGGAGAAACCAAATACCGACCCCTGAAATCGCAAGTAAATGGCGACACCTAACGAAGATAAAGGATGAGATACCTCCTGTACAGCATGACGTCGAAGTCGGCCTTTTGATAGGTTGTAACTGTCCAAAGGCCCTCAAGCCCCAAGAGGTCATCCTTGGAAACGACAATGACCCATACGCGGTAAGAACTAAACTAGGATGGGGAATTATTGGTCCAGTGAGTCCTTCCTCTCTAGACAACGAAGACGACGCTTCTTTCTGTCATAGGATCGTCACTTGTGAAGTTGGTAACACGAGACGCGATGGAAAGTTTGTAGTCGATAACCAAACGAAGGAAGTCATCAACCCCTTTGAAGTCCGGAGAATGTTCGAACTAGATTTTTCCGAACAATACCACCATGTTAAGGAGTTTTCCCAGGAAGATCTGAAGTTTCTGGAGATCGTTAAGCACGGCATCAGCCTTCAAGACGGTCATTACGAGATGCCACTACCTATGAAGGACAGAAATCCGCTGTTACCAAACAACCGCGCAATGGCTTGGAACCGACTCAAGCCCCTCAAGAAACGACTTGAATCCAGCGAAACATATCGCCAACACTACGTGGATTTCATGAACAAGGTCATGGACAATGGTTATGCTGAAAGGGTGCCAGAACAGGAGGTGACAGACACAGGCCGCAAGTCCATCTGGTACATTCCTCACCATGGTGTGTACCACCCTAAGAAGCCCAATAAAATCAGGGTCGTTTTCGACTGCTCAGCACAGTATCAAGGACAATCCCTCAACAGTCAACTCTTGCAAGGACCTGACCTCACGAACAGTTTGACTGGCGTTCTCTACAGATTTCGTCGAGAGTCGATCGCACTCATGTGCGACATAGAAGCGATGTTTTATCAAGTAAGAGTACCACCAGAAGACAGAGACCTTCTGCGTTTCCTCTGGTGGGAAAACGGCGATACATCTAGAGAGCCTCAAGAGTACCGAATGACTGTCCATCTCTTCGGAGCTACATCATCACCAGGTTGCTCCAACTTTGCCCTCAAGGCTACAGCTGATGACAATGAAGCAGCTGTCGGTTCCGCGGCAGCAGATTTTCTCCGACGCGACTTTTACGTGGACGATGGATTGAAGTCTGTGGCATCAGTGGAAGAGGCAGTCGAATTGGTGAAGGATATCAAAGAAATGTGTAAACGAGGTGGCTTTAACCTACATAAGTTCACGTCCAACAGAAAGGAAGTTATCCAGCAGATCCCAGTATCCGATAGAGCAGAGGGCATCAAAGACCTGGATTTCAGTCGCGAACACCTACCCATGGAACGCGCCTTAGGAGTACAGTGGTGTATAGAGTCGGATACTTTCAATTTCACCATCTCCCTTAGAGACAGACCTTGCACAAGACGCGGAATCCTTTCCACAATCAGTTCGATTTACGACCCACTCGGTTTCGTTGCTCCAGTCCTACTAGAAGGGAAGACCATTCTACAGGAGCTTTGCAGAAATAATGCTGGATGGGACGATCCAGTTCCCAATGATGTACGATCGAAATGGTTTATATGGAAGGCCGAATTAGAAGAATTGCAAAATTTCGCTATCCCACGCTGTTACAAGCCTATAGATTTCGGAAGAGTCATTAAGGCAGAGATCCATCACTTCTCGGACGCGAGTTTCAAGGGCTACGGGCAGTGCAGTTATTTGAGACTGGTAAATGAGAATGGCAAAATTTGCTGCGCTTTCGTACAAGGAAAGGCTCGAGTCACGCCTTTGAAAGCAGTAACCGTCCCGAGGCTAGAGCTCACAGCAGCTGTCCTATCGGCACGAGTCAGCGAGCAGTTAAAGGGGGAGCTGGACATCGAGATAAC